TGCCCTGTCTGGAAATCGAACTAGCAGCCTTTTGGTGCATGGACGATGCTCAACCATCTTAGCCAACACCAGCCAGGGCAAAAGTTAGTTATTTTTAAAATTAATTCTGTAGGTCTGAAGACCTGATTATATTTCTACATAAGTATAGAGCAAATGGAGGAGACAAATAGTTAGATACTGGGTGGGGGCTGGAGGTTTGGGGTGGTCTTACAAAAATGGTTTCCGCGTGTTTTTTCTCTCAGATCAGAACCAGGCAGTCCTTAAACTGTCTTCTGCAAAGTATTGGGTTGGAAGGTTGCCCCATCCTGTTGCCCTCCATCTTGAACGAGGGGAGAATGAACTTGGTAAGAGTTTAGGTCCTAACAGGTCTGAGTTTCACACTCATCTTAACCACTTAATCTCATTTAAGATTAAAATGACTACGCTTCATTTTTACTTTAGTGCAATTTGACCTTCTTTTCTTGGGAATAATTCTCTTTCTTCTTTAAACCAATTATTAATACAATGGTTAATACTCAGTTTACTTCCTTGTTGATATTTGAGTGATCTTCACTACTGGTTTTTTTTTTCAGTCTTTTTACATTTCTCAGGCAGGGCTGAAACGCAGACACCGACTGTCTGAAGCTAATTGTGTTTTACTGGTGTTGTCTGTGTGTAAACGTTGTATTCATTCTGAGTTTCCAAGAAGCAAATAACTTAGACTTTTCTGGTTTGGCATGTTCTTGCTTTCTAACCACATTGGAGCTGAACCTGGGAACTGAACACAACTTGAAATTTTGTGGTTTGGCTGCCAGAATTCAGAGCTAAACTATCTGAAGCTAAAAATTATTAATGTTGAAATGTTTTAACCTACTAAGTAAACCTGAAAAAAATGAAATTTTACTTTTATCTAGATGTCAGATGTGTGAAGAATGCTTAAAAATGATACCAGTGTTGTTCATTTTATAAAACCTGACTAGTAAAGAATTTCTGTGCATTCTGTGATGAGATGGGGAGTGACCAGGGAACTTTTTTGACTTATGAGAGCTTTGGTTATCTCCCAGCAAAGACTGTAAAAGAGTTACTGAATTTAAAGATAGGCGACACATTCTTTTTTCTTTTTAACGAAAAGACAAGATATGTCAAATTTGTTGACCTTTCTGTATGACAAGTGGCTATGTTACATAACTCATAGCATATTGAAAACAAATCAACCAGCCCTGGCCGTTGTGGCTCAGTTGGTTGGGTGTCATCCCATGCACCAAAAGGTTGCTGGTTCGATTCCTGGTCAGAGCCCGTGCCTGGGTTTTGGGCTCGATCCTTGGTAGGGGGCATGTGGTTCAGTTTCATCACATCAATGTGTCTCTCCCTCCCTCTCCCTTTCTCTCTATCTAAAAATCAATACACTGTTTAAAAAAAACAAAAACCACAGCAACTACCAACCAACGGAACACTCTTAGTACATCCCTGCAAAGTACAGGTGATGTTTTAACAATAAGTGAGAAAGTAATTGCCTTTGTAAAGACAGAGATTAAACTACAGAGAAAGTGTTTATTAAGTCACTGCTTGGAAATGTTTCTCATGGAATGTGTTTTTTGTTGTAAGTGGTATATGTATCTAATGAAAACTTTGCTATCTGTACACTGTAAAAAACTTGTAACAATATTTTCTATACTTCTGAAAATCTTCCAAATAGTTTAAGTTGATTTTTAAACCAATTGTTAAAAATGTAAAAATGCAATATTTTTAAAAATTAATTTGCAAGAACAATTGATAGGAGGGAAGACAGAATTTTTTAGCTAAAATCCAACAAAAACTAAGTGATAAAAGTTATTGAAAAATGAAAATAGTGATTTAGTAAGTACAAAAATGATATATTACTTTAATTTCAGTCCTTGCATTTTTGCAATTATGCTTTTCTCTACTATATAGACATTACAGTTAAGTACTGAAATAAATGGAATTTAGGACCTGACATTTCAGTCACTGAATGACAAAATACTTAAATCAATATTTAACAAGTAATATGATTTCATTTATTTTCATTGTTGTCATTGCTACACTAAAAGCATTAGTAAGGTTTCATGAGAATGAAACCATATGTGGTGAGACAGCACCAGGTGGAAAACTGGTGGAGGCAGACCGGACCTTGGTTCAGCAACCTCAGGCTAAGAAAGAATTCAGAGCCAAGGCTCAAACTATAAGAGAAAGTTTATTTAGAAAGTCAAAGAGGTAGAAGAAGTGAGCCATAGATGAAACAGGCTCAGGAAACAAGTTACAGAAGTAAAAGAAGGCCCTGGCCGGTTTGGCGCAGCGGTTGGAGCGTCGGCCTGCGGTACTGAGAGACCCGGGTTCGGTTCCCGCTAAGGGCACGTACCTCGGTTGCAGTTTGTCCCCGGCCCTGGTTGGTCGTGTGGGTGGCAGCCACTCGATGTGTCCCTTCACATCGATGTTTCTCTGTTTCTCTCTCTCTCTTCCTCTCTCTCCCTCCCACTCTATCTGAACAACAACAAAAAAAATGGAAAAATGTCCTCGGGTGAGGATAAAAAAAAAAAAAAGAAGTAAAAGAAGGGCCCTTGGAGCTTAGAAGAGAGAGGGAAGGAAAATGCATCTGGGGGAGGAGAGTGGGGAAAGACATGGGCATTGGGTTGCATAGAGAGAGTTGCATTGGGTTCTTCATCTTGAAGGCTTTTATCTGCTCTCCAAAGGCAGGGATTTCAGGGGAGGTCCCAGGGAGGATCCGTTAAGATAGTCATCAGCTTTCCAGGTGTGTCCCCTCAGGGTCCTGGTTTCCACCGAGTGTTTGGCATTAGGGGAGGGGGTCATTAGTCATTGCATTCTGGTCCTGATGTCAGTCATGGTGTCCCTCTGTCTGGTTTTGCTGCTTTTCTGGGCCCGGAGCTGAACACAACTGCAGCCTAGATGTTATCCCTAGGGGTTAATTGCTTAAGGATGTGGTCATGCAAGGGTCATGGGAGTCATATAAGGCCACTCTTGGGCTCCTTTGTCCTTCTCCAAGGAAAGGTCAGGAGAGGGTCCGAACCACATGACCAGCGATATGAAAGGTCAGGAGGTTTAAACTGCATGACCATGGATATGCTGGTGGAGGGGGAAAGGTCACCCTGGGGGCGAGGTCCTTGTTTGCCCGGTTTTGCCTGTCCTTGCTCTGCTCATGTTTGTTTAACGGCCTACCACACGACTAAGATATGAAAGTATTTTTAAATATTTATAATCTTTTATTTTTTAATGTCTATTTTATGTATGTTTTATACTGTGTGTAACATATTAGTAAATTAGTATGTATATAATATATATACATATGGTGGAGGACCATACTAAATTTTTGTTTGTTTGGTTTGATGTGAGTATGTAATCAAAAAAGTTTGTATATCCCTTTTCATTGATCACCCATGATCTGGCAAACTTTTATTGGTGGTAGCAACTATATATCCTTAAACTGCAAATCACTGTTTTTGGGATTATAAATCACCACATAGTTTTTAACTTGTGAGCTTTTGTTTTTTAATGTGGAGCCTTGATAACAGACATTTAGCTTTAGTCTAAATTCCAAACCAGTGGTTCTCAGACATGTAAAGCAGCATCAGCATCGCCTGGGAGCCTACTGGAAATACAAGTTTTCAGGCCACATCTCAGACTTACTGAACCAGAGATGCTGGTTAGCAAGATGGCCAGGTAATTCTAGTGCTCACTCAAGTTTGAGAATCGCTGGCTTTAATGATTTAGACTCATGAGTCATCCTTTCTTTCTACTTCATGATGGACCTGAGACAGTTTCTTAATATCTGTAGTATGTCTCAGTCTTAGCTCAGACTTTTATCATCTCTACCTGAGATTTTCTTCTCTTTTCCTTTCCTCCTCCTTTTTCTCTTCCTATTGTGAAATATTGTTTATTTGTGTTGTTTTCACAAAAGGGATCGTGTTTTGGTTCTTAAATTTTGGATGCCCCAGCCAATGTGACATATGTTTAAAGGAAATACATACACACACACACACACATTTTTTTTTTTAAATCCTTACCCAAGGATATTTCTCCATTTATCTTCAGATAGAGTGGGAGGGAGATAGAGAGAGGGAGAAAGAGAGAAACATCGATGTGAGAGCGACACATTGGTTGCCTCCCACACGACCCCGACCTGGGCCAGCAATGAACTGTAACCAAGGTATGTGCCCTTGACCAGAATCGAACCCGAGACTCATTGGTCTACAGGCCAGTGTTCTAACCACAGAGTCAAACTGGCCAGAGCTTAAGGGAATATTTTTAACATTTTAAAATTAATAATTTTTACTACTTCCAGTTGAACTGGAATATACACATGATTAATTTCCTATATTTTCCTCCTATATCTTGATTTCAAATTTTACAGTCTTGAAATATTTCTTTACCAACTAAAATTTCAAAATAAACATTTCAAAGTATGAGTTACTTAGATTCTACACTTTTTAAATTTTGTTATAGTTGCTTTATCTCTCTCTACAAACACACACACACACTCACATACTTTTTTTCTGAACCATTTGCTAGTAAATTGTATACATCAGTGCCCTTCATCCCTAACACCTTACTGCTAAGAATAAAGGTCAAAGTAGCTTTTAAGGGGACTAGTACAAAATTGTTCTGAGAGGCTGATTCATAGTAAATATTAAACCAATTATTAAAATCTTTTATTTTCAATATCCTTCTATAAATGCCTTAGTGAGGAAAAGGTATAGAACTCCAAGTTATAAATCTATAAATGGATCCTCTAGCCTTTCTTAACCAAAGTTTTTTATCTGAACTACAGAATACAAAGGGATGATTCGAGTGACCATTTTCTCATTTCTCCCAAGGATGGCCCATAGCTAGTACCAATCCAGATATGGAGGGGAGAAGTTAACTCACCATATACGGTGGATGTATCTGGGAGTCCACACTGGTTGGACTGTGCTTGTGGCAAGTTCCTAAAGATTTTGATTTGACTAGCTTATGATGTTTACACAAATTACTTCTTTTCTTTTTTTAAGATTACAGGTCCACCAGGCTGTGGGAAAACTCAGTTTTGTATAATGATGAGTGTGTTGGCCACATTACCCACTGACATGGGAGGAATGGAAGGAGCTGTTGTGTACATTGACACCGAATCAGCATTTAGTGCTGACAGGTAGGGTATTTTATTATTTTCCACAATACTTTAGTTTTGTAACATATGTAACATTTTCAAATAGGTTAACATTTGCTTTTTTTTTTTTTGAGAACACAGAATGCTAGATATTGTCTTAAGGAATTTTCCTCTTAAAATAGACAGTTTCTTTTTATCTTTTCTATTCCTTTATTGGTTTAAGTGGGGTTCCTGTATAAGGTGTGTTTGGCAGAAAGTCAGGAAGAAAAAAGTTCAAGAAAGAGGGAGAAATGTAAGTGGAAAAATAGGGAAGAGGGAAAATTAATAAGAAAGAAGATAAACTGCTTTGTAACTAATTTCTAGTTGGAAGTAAAATATTTGTGAATGGAAAAATTGCAGATTTCAAAACATTTTTTTTGATTGAGAAGTATTTCTGTTTCATCTTTGAAACAGTATGGTATTCATTGTTAGAAACACACTGATAGTAAGAGTATCTTTGCTTGGAAAGAAAAGCTTTCCTTAGTTTAAAAGGTGAAAAGGACCTTTCATATTCTATGACAGAGGCATTTAGTCATTTGTGTATTTCTGTTTTTAATGTTGTTTTTTTAATTGATTTTAGAGAGAGAGGAAGGGAGAGGGAAAAAGAGATAGAAACATCGATGAGAGATAACATTGATTGGCCTCCTCCTACATGTCCACCCCGCTGGGGATTTGGCCCACAACCTGGGCATGTGCCCTGACTGGGAATTGAACCATCGACCTCTTGGTGCATGGGTTGACACTCAACCAGTGAGCCACACTGGCCGAGCTCATTTGTGTATTTCTGTACACCTGAAAATAAGTCTGGGCTTCATTCTTCCCTGCTCTGATGAATGTTCATAAGCAGGAGTGCTTATGCATCTGGAGACTGATTCTAGTCTGTTCTCTTAGTCAAGTATAATATGGGTATAGTCCTTTGAGTCTTTCTCTCACTATGACATTATGAATTAGATCTCTCCCTCATTTCTCTCAAGGAATACTATTTAAGTCAAAGCATATCCCTGATCAGATAAGTTCCAAATGAATTAGTTTGCCTAGATTTTATTTGCTTTGTTCTATATCTCTTGGTTATCTGTTCTTTTTTGGGGGGGGGGGTGGTTTATGCCCCTAGCAGGAACTGAACCCAGGACTCTCTGGTCCGCAGGCCAATGCTCCAACCGCTGAGCCAAACCGGCCAGGGCGGTTATCTGTTCTTTTTAAGTATATTCCACTGGTTTGTCAGCAGTTTGAGTTTGTGTTATATCTTTTTATCTTCAAAGCTAAATCCAGTGACTGACACATAAGACCTCTCAGAAAATGTTGGTAAATAAATGGACAGGTGCTCCTTTCAGATCGTGAAGTTTTGATACCATTTTCTTTTGTTTTTTTCAGTTACTATTCATCTTCAATATTATTTTATATTAGTTTCATCTGTATAGCATTGTGATTAGACAATCATTTACCTTACAAACTGATCCCCCGATATTATAAGTACCTATCTGGCACCAAGCATACTTACTATAATATTATTGACTATATTTCATATACTGTGCTTTACATCCCTGTGACTGTTTTATAGCTACCAATTTGTAATTCTTAAACCCTTCACCCTTTTCACCTAGGCTCCCAGTCCTCTTCCATTTGGCAGCCATCAGTTTGTTCTTTGTATGAGTCTGTTTCTGTTTTGTTTGTTTATTTATTTTGTTATTTAGATTTCACATCTAAGTGAAACCATTTTGTATTTGACTTTTTCTATTGATGGGCACTTGGGTTGCTTCCATATCTTGGCTATATAAATAATGCTGCACTGAACATAGGGCACATATATCTTTGTGAATTAGTGTTTCGGGTTTCTTAGGACATAAACCCAGAAGTGGAATTGCTGGGTCATAAGGCAGTTCCATTTTTAAATTTTTGAGAAACTTCCTTGCTATTTTTCATAGTGGCTACACCAATTTACATTTCCATCAACAGTTACTAGGGTTCCCTTTTCTCCACATCCTTACCAACACTTGTTTGTTTATTAATGATGGCCGTTCTGGTATGTGTGAGGTGATGATCTCATTGTGGTTTTCATTTGCATTTCTCTGATGATTAGTGACATTGAGCATCTTTTCATGTGTCTATTGGTCATCTGTATGTCCTCTTCGGAGATAAAACCATTTTCTACTGCAAGGACTGAGACTTCCATGAGGGAAATGGCTGATTCTGGCTCTGGAGCAGGACATTTTTAATTAGAGTCTGAAACGTCATATCACATAGCAGGGAACTATCAAAGTCTACTTAGGGGAGTGTCAGAGGACTTTTGGAGTCAACTTGAAGAAGGCTCTCTCTGGCCAAAGATGAGAGAACTTGAGCACCAACAGCATAATAATAATGGCAGTGGATTAAAACACATGAAATATATTTAAAATCCATGAGTCTATAATATTAACAAATGAGGAGCAACTAATTAATCACTATTGGAGGATTCTGGAGAAGTAACTCATTATTTTGAAAATGAGTAAAATAAAACGGGAAATCAAACATTTATTTATCTTTTTCTATATGAACTGTATTACTGAGTAACATCTAGGTCTTTTTATTGATGTATTCCAGTATAAATGCAGAAGGAATGTTAGAATGTCACCAAATTATAAATCCTAACAATCTAATTTAGGCATTAAATATTGTGGTATAATAAGAAATAAATATTTTGCCTTCTTCCTGCTTTTTGGCAAAAGAGCTTATAATACCTTTGGAATTTTCTGAGTGATAGAGGTGAGAGGAATGTCATTTGCTATTCATAATTAGCCCCTTTCAGCCATATCCGAGTTTATAATAATGAGGTAACTCTTGGTGAGTTCCTAGGTAGCTTCTGGTGGGGACTGGTTGCCAGTGGAATCAATCATGTGGTTATAGGGTTGGACCTTTCAGCCTCATAAACTGCCCCCACAAACCTTTGAAGAGGGGGAGGGGAAACTGGTTAATCACCAGCAGCCACTGATTTAATCAATTATACCTGTGTAATGGGGTCTCTACAAAAATATCTAAATGATAGGGTGTGGGGAACTGGTGAACACATGGAGGTGCTGGGAGGGTTGTATGCCTGGACATGGCGTGGAGGCTCTGCTCCCCCCACCCCCTGAATACCTTCTTTTATTTGGTTTATCCTGAGTTGTCCTTCATAATAAACCGGTAATAGTAAAGTATCTTCCTGAGTTCTATGGGCCATTCTAGCCAGTTATTGAACTTGAGGTGAGTGTGGGAATGTCTCCTTTGTAAGTAGCTAGTTAATATTAATAATCGGAAGAGAACAAAGGGGAGGCCAGATATAATAAGCATGATCATCTGGGCAGCTTCACCGTTAAGATGCAACTTTACACTCCCCAGGGAAACACCAGTGCATTCCCTGCAGATCACTGGGGGAAGGACTAGAATAAAGGGGGAGACAGATGCATGTGCAGTGAAGTTGGGGTGACAGTAGGGAAGGTGCTTGCCTGTCAGTCTATCCTGGGAAAAAGATAATTGGCTAGAGGGGCAGAGCCGTTGCAAATACATGGAATCCTAAAGCGTTCATTGGCTAAGCTCTCAGTTACGCTCCCCAGACAGAGAGTTCCCTCTCTCTTGCTTGCCCTTGCACTCGTTTCTCTCTCGTTCTGTGACCCGTGATTGCCCATGTGCTAGCCCGCCAGGTGACATCACACCCAGTGGACTGCAACTGGGAACACAAGCTAAGCTAGCCTGATGCTGGACTGAACTGTGCTTTAGTATGGAGCAGAAACTCTGCGCAGTGGCTTTAATTCTAGCCCTGCTGAAGACAAGGCTGGACTTTTCCCATGGTGAGATGGAAGGAAATGGGACACTAGACACCCAGGGGTTTAATTCATGCAGATAAACATGTTTTCCCATGTAAGTCTCAGAAAATTCCTTTTCTTATGACATCACAAGAATTCTACTTCCACTGATAACAGGAAGCCCTGATTTATAGCCTGTTAAGTCAGAAATGCCAGAGGGCCAAGAGTTGCAATTGGTATCAGAAGTGGGGGCAGTCATGTGGGACTGGAGCCCTTCGCCTTGGTGTCTGAGCTTACTACCGGTGATTAGTATTAGAATTGAATTGGTTTGTGGGACACCCAGTTGGTGTTCCCAGGGTATTGGAGAATAGGTTGGTGTGGACAACCTACACGTTCAGTGTCAGGAGTATTGTAAGTAAAAACAGTTCATCAACATAGAAGCCCACTAACATCACAAAAAGACAACCCATCATTGTGGTACCTCCTGATGGGAAAACAGTCAAACCCGAATGTGATCAAGCTTTCAGATCCAACCACTGGCTTACAACATACACAAAGAAGAGAGGAGCAGTGTTAAGCTACCAGAGGGATGCACACAGTGGGAAATGACAGAACAATTTTGTTTCTTTAACAAATAAATTGTTAAGATTTAAGAAAAGAATAGTTACAGCCCTGGTTGGTTTGGTTCAGCGGTAGAGTGTTGGCCCTTGGACCCAAGGGTCACGGGTTCGATTCCTGGTCAAGAGCATGTACCTGGGTTGTAGGTTTGATCCCTGGCCCTGGGTGAGGTCATTTGGGAGGCAACCAATTGATGTGTCTCTCTCAGCGTTTCTCTGTCTCTCTCCCTCCCTCACTCTATTCTGTTCTATCTAAAAATCAGTGGAAAAATATCCTCTGGTGAGGATTAACAAAAAAATAAAAAAGAGTTAGAGGGGGAACCTTTGGATTAAAAGAGACTTCAAAGATTTATTGCTCACATCATATTGCATACTAAATTATAAATAAATTGTATTTATTTATTTATTTTGTTAATCCTCAGCTGAGGATCTTTTCCCATTCATTTTTAGATAAAGTGAGATGGAGGGAGGAGGAAGGAAGGGGGGGAGAGAAAGAGAGAGAAACATTGTTGTGAGAGAGACACATTGGTTAGTTCCCTCCTGTCTGACCCTGACCTGGGCCAGGGATTGGACCTGCAACCCCGTATGTGCCCTTGACTGGGAATCGAACCCTTGACCCTTTGGTCCATGG